AAAAAAAAAAAAAAAAAAAAAAAAAAAAAAAAAAAGTGTGTGTGTTGTCCATATCACATTCACGTGGACTATTTTTAATTTGTTTTCCTTTGTGATGGAGTTAAAATTCCAATGCATGTCAGATGAAGGATTCGAGATTCAATTCCCAAAGGCAATAGGCATAACTAGTATTGTACCATAGATACAAAGTGTGACAAGTGATATGTGTTTGTAATCTAACGTTCTTTCTGACTGATTAAAAAAAAATGGAACCAATATATCTATTATATATACATGTAATGTAGTTCTGGCTTGGCCCAAACTCAATAGTCAATTGGGCTTGCCTGTTTTTAATTAGGCTCATGATATATTCATTTTCTTTGTTTAGAAGTATATATCATGAGCCTTGAATTAACTTGATTTCACTCATGTAATTTGATTTGAACTTATGCTTTTGCGGAAACGGGATGGGCCCAGTATGATTAGACATTTCGATCCAGCCAACAAACCCATTTGACAAACTCACAAATTTAATAATCTTATTTTTTTAAAACATTAACACAAAAATCAATTGTTACATATAAATTTATACGATTTTTTTTTTAAATGTTATAACTGAACAAAAAAAACATGTCTCAAAATATCTTTTCATCTATCACGCTTAAATATAAAAGTTTTTTATTAACCATCGAAATAATCTATATTACTATTAATCCAGACAGATATTAAGAAATTTTAAATATAAACAAAATTACTTGTACTTTATATGAAAGTAACATGATTTGTTTTGTCACGTACTTTTAATTATAAAACCGGGTTCCAGTACAGATACATTTTCAAAAATAATAATAAATTTATATTGTAAATTTACATAATTATTTACATTATAACTTTAAGAAATTGACATTATTTTAATTTAGTGTGTTTTTGTAATTTAAAGAAAGATACCACCACAAATAAAAATCTCAATATAATATATATTTTAGTAGTTTTTTATTTATAAATTCCCAAAACAACTAAATAACAGGCCCGTGTATACTATAAAGGCTGGAAGTAAATAAAAAAATTAAAATGTTTTAGAAACAATAAATAAAAAACATAAAAAGCAAATAAATTATATCAACATCCCACACCTGTGTCAATCTCCCTTGACAATTTTATTAATAGTATTCATTAATATTGTGTTTGAATGAGGAATTTAAATGGAGTAATTTATTTATTTAAAGAATTTCAAATTCTTTGAGGTGAAATACCTTGTTTGAATGAAGAATTTATAAGGAATTTGAAATTCAAGCATTTGTGAAATTCCTTAAAATAGTAAAATTTCAAATTCTCCCAAAAAAGTAATTATTTGAAATTCTTCATATTTTTTCTTCTTCTTATTTCACTTATATATTTTATCTTATCTCTTCATGTTTTTAATTATTAAATATTCAAAAATATTTTTAAGATTATTAAATATTATATAATATTAATTTTTTAAAATTATTAAATATTTAAAAATTTGCTAATATTTATTTTTATAAAATTTAATTTAAAAATTCTCAACATATAAATATATTTTTAAAATCAATTTTACCATGGTGGAATCAAATTATCATATCCAACCTAATAATTTAAAATTT